CCAGGAGCTTTAATACACTGCTTTAGCCAGTCAAGAACTTGTAAAGAATTGCATCTTTGCAGCACCTACCACAGACTGGCGCCCAGGAGCATTTTTCTTCCTTTGTCTGCCCTTTGCTAGACTGTTGTCAACAGTGGAATTTAGCTATCTTATGTGGACTTTAACAAGGTGGTAAACTAAATCAGTAGAATATAGCAGCTATTTTCTAGTGTTTGAAGGATAATTGAAGGATTAGCTTTGCTTTTTGTGTCTCCAAAAAGACCAGTGGATCAGACTAACTGGAGAGAGATTATAGCCCAGTGCAGGAAAGAATTTTATACTGTTGGAGTTGTGCAAATATGGAACAGTTCTCTGAATAATAAATGACCCTTATTGAGCACCTGCTTGGTGCACAGGCACTATACTGAGTATAAACATTGTTATATTTATTCCTGTCAGTGGCTCTGTGAAATAGGTATTGGTTTTTGCATATTTATAAATAAAACTTTTGAGAGTAGTTAACTTGCCTAAGATTAAATAATTGGTAAGTGGAAGAACCAGAAATTAAATGCAGAGCCGTTTGATTCCTAAAGATACCACCTTGGAAAATAGTCTAGAGTCACTAGAGGTTTCCAGAAATAAACTAGACAGCTAGAGTTAGCAGATAATCTATGAAGGTGTTTACACACCAAATGGGATGATTAGTTAGGCAGATGATCTTTTAACTCTTTTCTAACCTTTAAATTCTATGATCTTATCACGTTTGTACAATCAATTTGCAAGCTATACTGTAGAATCATTATAGGAAAATAGGTTTCTCAAAAATTAGCTGCTCTGCAAATTTTATATTAATTTGTATTCCCAGTATTATGAAGGCTAAGGTGTTTGTCAGTTTAGCTTTAAAAAGAAGTCACTAGTCCAAGTGAATAAAGTACCAAAAATTTTTTTTTTAAAAAAACAATGATAGACAAGGAAATTTAATTTGATAGTGTAATATCTTAAATAAGTGCCTGAATAAATAACTTTTAATATATGATAAGATTTGTTTTGTTTTTAATATAAGAAAATATCTTACTGTACATTTTAGAAAACTGGGTTTCTTAAATCTTATACATCTACATCAAAGTTAGATATTTTCTGGACCCGCACGATTTCTTAGCCTCCCCAGACCTGAGAAACATTATTTAGGTTTAATAGCATGCCACAAAGCAGGAAGGGACCTGAAGCTTACCCCTTCAATATAGATCAAAGGAGTGAAATTCTTTGATTTTATGTTGCTGCTAACAGCAACATGCAGATGTGGTAAGATGTAGAAAAGGCATGGCAATGACTTGTTGACTCTTCTTACATCAATATTCAAGAGTTGCTTGAGTAACGTTTGTTTTTGTTAAATTGGTTTTTTGTTTATCAGGTTTAAAATCTTTAGAGTAATTTTACTACTTTCAGATTTTCTAATTAAATCATTTTATGGTAAGATATTGTTTTTATTTAGCCAAACACAGTGAAAGCTCCTACTTGATACTCTTCCAAAAATACAGATTCAAATGAAAAAGATTCCCTTAAGAATAGCTTTGACCAATTTGATTTAATATGTCACACAATTTAAAGGGTTCTAACTCTTTAACATGGGATTACTATTTATTTCAGTGATTGATTTTCAAAATGGACACAGGGAAATAGTTTCTCCATTTTGGTTGCTATAGTACACAGTTAATTCATAAAGGCTCTCCTTATTTTAACTTTTTTAGGATGAGTTTGATTTGTCTCATTTTAGGGAATAAATCTTTCAATGTGATACTTCATTTCTTATTGCATCTCTATCATAAGAAAAATTAATGTGTAATATTTTAATGTTAACAGATTTTATTCAACTTTCTATAGGGTTTGAGAGGGAAAAATGTATTTTAAAACATTTGCTCATTCTTGGTATGGTCTATGGGCATATTAGATCTTACAAACCTTGACGAGGGTGACACCAATTAAAGGAAATTAAATGAATATGATCAGTCAAGTGTTAAATTAAGATCCTCTTGTAAAAATTTTACAATCTTTAAAAAAAAAAA